TGGGCAGCCCTTACCGCCCCCCCCCCCCCGTGGGCGGGGTCCCCCCGAGCCCACCCGAGCCCACCCGTGTGTCCTGGGGGTGCTGCAGGGGCACCATGACCCTCCCTGGGCAGCCCCACTATGGCCCCCCTAACGGAGTCTGTGGTGCCCACCCAGCCACTCCCTCACACCCCACTGGGGGCCCTGAGAGGGGAGTCCCCGCAGGCCAGGCTGGGGTGGGGACCCCACGGCCCCATTGTGACAGGCGGTCCCAGGGGCTTAGGCAGCCCCCCGAGATCCCCCCAGTTGCGCAGTTGTGGCACATTAGGGGGCTTTGGGGGACCCCACTGCCACCACCGCAGCTTTCGGGGCGGGAGCCGGACCCCCGGAGCGGGTTGGCCCGTTCCCGGGGAGGGGATGCCCAGAATAGCTCCGCTATCCGATTCCCGCCGGAGGGGCCTCGTTTCCCCTAGGGACTGACATTTGAGCCCGGCAGCGGGACAGGCTGTCGGGACTTCCCGGGATCTCCCGGCACCGCCGGGCCCCCCGGGACGAGCAGGGGGGATGGCGGGCGGGAGGCGCCGCGGGGGCGGTGGGCGGCGGGGGGGACCCCAGCAGAACACGGGGACCCCCCAGCCGGCCCCATCGCCCGCACCCCTCTGCCCTGCAGCCCCCACGGCCCAGCCAGCGGGCGCTGCCCCCAGGGCGGGCCGCCCCAAGAAGGCCGTGGAGGGGCCGGCGGCGAGGGCTCCGGACGTGGACTCGCTGGGCTTCCAGGCCATGGACCGCAACGTGCCGGGGCTGTCCCACGTCATCCTGCAGAAGCTCAACATGGAGAGCTACGAGGACTACAAGTGAGTGACCACTCATAGGTGCACGTTCCCCGCACCCTCCACCCTGGCCAGGCCATCCCATGTGTCCTCCCGCTGTTGGAGTGTCTCTCCTGGCTCATCCCACCCTCCCGGCCCAGCCCATATGTTGGCTCGAATGGGCTCCTGGGTGCACCCCTCCAGGGATTCCACCTCCCCATCTCCCCCCAGGCCAGGGTGTTCCTGGCTGGAGATAAAAATCCTAGCAGGCTCGGACGGAGGCAGGACATCAGCCCCACTGTGGTTGCAGTGGGCTGGATCCTGCTCACCCCCCAACATGTGCAGGTCTGCCATGGACGGGAAGAAGAGTGGCAGCGATTTCGGCATCCGGACTTACTTCGACATGTTCCAGAAGATGGAGGACACCTTCAAGTTTTGTGCTGAATGCAAGAAGCTCCCTGATGCCCTCCCTGACCCCAAAAGCCTCCGGCGTTGCAAGAGGTATGGAAGGGATGTTCTGATGGCACAGGGATGGATCCATCCCTCGTTTCCAGCCCAGTGGCTGGGGTGCCGTGAGGGGTGTGTGGCCCCGGTGCTCATCTTCAACCTCAGGGCACCCCCCCCAAAACAGTGACACAGCCCTGGGAGGGGGTGAGCCAGGCTCAGCAGGAACAGATCCTGCCCTCCTCACCATGGCTTGGCTTCCTGCCTGTCTACCCAGGTGCCAAAATGTGTACTACTGTGGTGTGGCGTGCCAGCGTGCCAACTGGCCGCTGCACAAGAAGTTCTGCAAGAAGCTGAAGCTGGTGGCCCTGGATCGGTTGGTGGAGTGGCTTGTCTTCACAGGTGGGACACGTTTACCCCCCCCCAGCCTGCCTGACCCCCATCCCAGGCTGCACAGGTCCCATGGTGGGATGTAGGGTCCCTCCCCCAGCCCCTCTCCTCTAGCACTCCTACAGCACAGGTGGGATGGGCAGCCTGGGCTGTGGGGCCATCACTGTGCCCTCCAACCTTCTCCCGACCTCCAGGAGACATCCCCTTCCCCACGGAGACCTGGACAAAACCCACGGGGGATGTGAAGGGCTGGGAGGACTGGTTCTCCATGCAGGAGCAGCTGGAGGAGAAGCTGGGTGCCATTGTGGCCGGGCGCTACATGACCCTGCTCTGGGCCAACGCCGGGAAGCCGCGGCCGGAGGACAGGGAGCTGCGCGAGTCCATCCGGCGCCTGGTCACTGACTTCCACTCGCGGCCGCTCACCATCGGCCTGGGGCTGCGGCTTTTCGGCATCGACCCCCTTGCCAGGCCCCTCACCGTGCACGTAGTGGGGGCCTCCCACGTGGAGACCCTCAATACGCGGCCCACGGACTACGACGAGCTGACACGGATGTTCCCGGGGCACCGGGGCGTGGAGATGGTGATGGTGGGTGTGGATGTGGTGGACGGACCCATCATGAGGCCACCCCTGGCCACGCCAGCACCCCGGGGTAGAGTCTATCTCAGCAGCTACAAGGGGCTCTACCACGACTTCTGGGAAAGCCACGTGGAGACCAAGCTGGCTGCCCGTCCTGACCTCGTAGTGGGATTTCACCCAGGTGAGTGCCTGTGCTGTGGAGAGGCTGGATCCTCACACCTGGGAGCGGGACATCCCTGCAGGGAAGGGGGTAGGGACTCGGGAACCACCCTGAAGCACCTGGGGCTGAGCCTGCAGGTAGCATGGGACACGCCCAGGGCTTTGCACCAAGGTACAGTGGCCAGCTGGGGTGATCCCCTGGGATGTGGCTGCCTCGTCCCGCACTCATTGTCCTGCCTGTGTCACCTGTGTCACCCCTCTGCTGGTCAGAGGGGTCTGTGCTGCAGGGCTTGGTGCTGTGCTCAGCGCAGACCCAGAGTTTGGAGTGCCCCCTGTGCTGGTGGGGAGCCAGACCTCACCTTGCCGAGGGCTTCCAAACATTATAACCAGCACCACCGTGTGCCCTGGGGTCCCCAGCACGGAGTGGGTGCAGTTGGAGCTGCCTTTCCCCAGCTCCGCATGTCTTTCTGTGTCTCCATGTTCCCAAATGTCTCCCATGTCCCCAGTGTCCCCACCTGGCAGATGGACTCAAGGATCTCCGTGTACCTCTCCTCCATCTGCCTCAGCTCCTGTGGGGACAGGGGGACACAGCTGTGGGGCCAGAGTGGGATGGGAGGGAGGTGGAGCCCTCACTGCTGTGACCCCACAGGTTTCCACGCCTGCCCAGACCTGCTGGCGGGGTGGCTGCCCACCCTGCTGCTGCTGCGGGACTATGGCCTGCCCGTCCTCTTCACTGTGTACAGGTGAGCACAGCCCCTTGGCCCTGTGAGCCGGCACAGCTGCCTGGTGACAGGCCTGTCCTCCACTCTCCCACAGCGAGCAGGAGCTGAAGGCCTCCCTGCAGATCCTCGTGGAGCTCGAGGCACACATCGTGGGCTATGCCAGCAACCCCTTTGCCTCACTGCGGCCTGAGCAGGTCTACTCCAGCCCCAACAAGGCCCCTGTCTACTGCAGCTCCCACTACATCGCCCTGCTGGGAGCAGAGGCGCCTGCTGTGCCAGGGGCCGAGGAGCTGGAGGATGAGGATGATGGCTGGCAGGGAGTGGGGCCCAGTGCTGCTGCTGTTGGTGGGGGCATCACCCCAGGGTTGGGCTGATTCCACACAGTCAGCACCGACCTGCCTGCCCTGCCCATCCCAGGGCCCCGTCTCCCCATCCCAGGATCTGCCATCCAACCATCCCTCCCTGCACCCGTCCAGTCCTGGGGGATGCAGCACCCCCGGCACAGGCACAGCACCCCTGCACAGCACTAAATAAACCCCTGCCAGCCACCGGCCGCCGTGTCTCAAGCTTTATTTCCAAAAAGGCTTTTGTTTTCCCAAACAAAATGGGGGCCTGAGCCCACCCCAGCCCCCTTCCAGGCAGCCACAGCCTCTGGAGGGACAGTGAAGGGGACCCTGACTGCGGGGCCAGCCATGCACGGGGCTGTGCAGCCCCCAGGGTCCCACGGGGAGCCCCAGCCCAGCACCCAGCTGTCACTGTCACCTGCACTGTGCCCCTGCACTGGTGCCTACCCTGCAGGGCACTGCTCCAGCCTGGCACTGCCTACCAGCCTGGCCACGGCCGTGAGCACCAGCAGGCACCTCCTCACCGCTCTCCAGCCTCGATGGCCCCTGCAGACACCAGGGTGGGTGGAGCTGAAGGATTCGGCTCCTGCGGCATCGCCCGACGCTGCCAGGGACGCGCACGGGCCTGGTGTCCCCTCCCGGTGCAGCCAGTGGGTGTGGCACGGCAGCGTTGGCACCGACCCGCATGGGCACTCCGATAGCTCAGGGAGGCCAGCACCCCCCTGGGGCTCCCAGCGCCCCAGCAGCGGGTCCTTCCCTGGGGTCCATGCCTGTCGGAGGGGCCGTGGTGGGCGGCGGAGCTGGCACAGTCCAGCATGGTGTGGCGCTGCCGGCATCACTCGGCGCCAGTGCGCTCCCGCAGCGCGGGCAGCGTCAGGGTCTCTGGCGCCGACTTCTTCCGCGGGCGAGTCCTGGGGGGGGCGAGGAACTCGGGGGCCTCGTCGCTGAGGGGGGTGGAGGGGGCGCTGGCAGGGGCCGAGTGCGTGGCTGTCGGCTGCCCCACCTCGCTGACCGAGATGGCAGGTGCCACCAGGCCGATGAGCTCGTTGGTGGCCTCCTGTGTCTCCTGCTCGTAGCGCCGCACCTCCTCCATCGTCATCCCTGCCGAGCACAGCCGGGCTTGGGGCCGCTCGGCACGGCCGCGTCCTGCACCCCCTCATCCCGGGGCAGCCTGCGCCCCGCGCCCCGGCTCCCCACTGAGCTGGGGGACAAGGGGACAGGGGCTGGGGACAAGGGCACAGGCAGGGAAGGGGAAGCTTGACAGCGCAGCCAGCCCTCCGCTCCGGCACCAGCCCAGCCAGCAGCGGGGAAGGGGATGGACAGGCAGCGCAGACAGCGCAGGCAGGGGACACGTGGGGAGGGCAGCCGGGAGGGGGGACCCTCCGCTGCGGGGTGCAGGGGGGTCACAACACCCCCCGCCTGCACCTGCCTGCAGGCAGTGTGGCGGAGCCCGGGGTGTCCAGCCCCGGCAGGCAGCAGGAGTTAGGGGTGCTGGCTCCCCAGCTTTTGGTTTGTGGCCACTTGCATCTGAGTCTCGAAGGCCCGGACCTCTTCCAGGGACATGTCTGGAAGGCAGAGAGCCGCTCACCGGGACGGCCCCGCTTCCCGCCGGCACCCACCACCGGCTGTCACCAAACCCTGGGCTCCCATCCCCGTGTGTGCACTCAGCAGCACCTGCAGCGAGTGTCCCTGCCGGGCAGGGAGGGGTGCAGGCAGCGCAGGCAGCATGCTGGGAACCCTCTCCCTGTCCCCCTCAGGTGTGCAGCAGAGTAGGCGGTGTGCAGGGGTGCAGGCAGGGCTGAGGGCAAGGGGAGTGGAGCAGAGCAGGCAGCGCAGGCAGCGGGGGAACAGGAGGAAGAGTAGGAGCTGGCCATGGGGTTAATGGCATCAGCAGTTAGACATGCAGCCCCCTCCCAGCATGGGGACCACGTGCCCCCCTCCCCATCCCCACCAGGGTGACCCCACAGACTCACCGCACCACTCGTCCACCCAGGCGAAAGCTTGCCGGTGCCCGATCAGCAGGATGTCCCGGATCACCTGCACCGCACCGTGGGGGTCAGCACCCTGTCACTGTCCCCACAACGCCCCTCCAGCCCAGCTTGGACCTCCCTCACCTTGTGCACGAACTGCTCCACCCGCGTCTGCAGCCCCCACACCTCGAACTTGACGCTCACCAGTTTGTAGGAGCACATGATGGGCTTGGTGTGCTGGCGCCAGCCCTCCCGCAGCGGCCCCCGGCCCGTCTTGGCTGAGCTGAAGAATCGGGGGTCCTGGGGGGATCAGGCAGAGCAGGGCCATGAGCCCCAACCCAGGACAGAGGGGTGGCCCCAGGGAGCCCCCTGGTCCCCAGCCCTGGTACCTCCAGGCTGCGGTAGTAGCGCTCAGGGATCTCGTCGAAGGCAATGTCCAGGAAAGAGACCTCGTGGTCACCCAGGATTTTGTCGCTGTGGAAGATCTGGGAAGGGGAGGGAAGGTGAGCGCCGTGGACCGTGTGGCCCCTGTGATGAGTTTGCCAGGTCTCGGCTGTGGCGCACACTCACGTTCTCACTGTCCCCACAGTTGTCCTCGTACTTGGTCTCGATGTAGATGGAGAATTTGGGCAGGAAGGAGCACTGCAGGGAGTGGCTGTCAGCTGGTTCCCAAGGGATGCCTGTTCTGAAGGACACCCACTCCCAAGGACACCTACCCAAGGGATGCCCATCCCCAAGGACACCTACCCTGAGGGACACCCATCCAAAGGACACCCTGCCCCAAGGGACACCCACCTCAAAGTATGATCATCCTCAAGGGATGCCCATCTTCAAGGACATGCACCCCAGGAACACCCAATCCTAAGTGACACCCATCCCAGGAGATGTCCAGGCTCAGGGACACCCATCCCCAAAGACACTCAACTCAAGGGACACCCACCTCAGGGAGACCCGGCCCCAAAGGACTCCCACTCCCCAAGGGACACTCAGCCCCAAGAGATGCCCAGCCCCAAAGACAACCAATCCTAAGGGACACCCATCCTCAAGAGATGCCCCTCCCCAAGGACACCCACCCTGAAGAACACCCATCCCCAAGGAATGCCCACCCTGAGGGACACCCACCCCTAAAAATGCTGACCCCAAGAGACACCCATCCCTGGGGGATGCCCACCCCAGTGCCCCATCCCCAGCCATGCCAGGTGCCGGGGAAGGGATCAGGTCCCCTCGTGCCACCTCCTTACCGTGTACTCTGCAGGGACACCGTGGCACAGCAGCATCACAGGGTGGCATCACCGCGTGGCATCGTGGGGGAGGGAGAGAGCAGTGAGCCCAGGGGCAGAGGCCATGGCCAGGCTGCTGGCAGCCCATCACCCCTGCTGGGGAGGGACAGGGTGCCCTGCGGTGCCCATCCCCACGCCCTGCCCGGGGCTCACCCGTGATGGTGTAGGGGTAGTAGTTCCAGGCCTTCTCAGTGATGTAGAAGATGCGGGGGGTCACTGCCCGTGCCCAGCTCGGCAGTTTGCTGCAGGGGACCATGGAGGGGGGGACCCCCTCAGGGCAGGACATGGCTGGTGCCACCCAGCCCTGCACCACCCAACACAGGCTGGCTCTGGGATCCCCATCCCCTCCCCAGGACACTCACCTCCACCTCAGATCCTCCCCATGCAACCTCACCTCCACCCCAGGATTCCCTCACCTGCACCCCATCACTGCCCAGGGACACCTGCCACCTTCCCAGGGCCCTCATCTGTACCCCAGGATCACCACCTGCATCTCAGGACACTCCCAGGCATCCTTACCATCTCCCCAGGACCCTCAGCTCTACCCCAGGCCCCCAGGGAACCCTCACCTGCACCCTAGGACCTCATGTGCACCCCTGAACCCTTCCCAGGGCCCCCTGTTACCTCCTCAGGACCCTCACTCTGCCCTAGCTCCCCTCCATGCACCTTCACCTCCACCCAGGACCCCCCTAGGGATGCTCACCTGTACCCCATGACCCCAGGGACACCCACCACCTCCTCCAGACCCTCACCTGCACCTCAGGACACTTTCATCTCCCAAAGACCATCACCACTACTCCAGCATCCCCCTCCCAGAGATCCCTTGTCACCTCCCCACCACCATCACCTGCACCCCAGCCCCCTTTCCCCCCAGGGATCCATGCCAAGTCCCCAGGACCCTCCATCTTCACCCCAGGGCTCTCATCTCCTACCCAGTGCCCCCATGCTTTCCCCAAAACCACCTCCCTCTCCCCAGCCCCTCGTCCCCCCGCCGAGGGAACCCCACCCCCTTCCTGGACTCTCACTCCTTCGCCAGCGCCTCCATCTCCCCAGGGCCAGGGGTCCAGGGTGGTCCCATCCCCCTCCCAGCACCCCGGGCAGGAGCAGACCCCCAGAGGAGCCAGGAGTTGAATTTTGATTAATTTTTAGGTGTTATAAATACCTGCCCCGATAGGGGAATCGTGAGTGCTGCGGCTAAAAATAACCTGTCTCACGCCAGCCACTCCCTGTCAGGAGCATCTGCTGGGTGTGACACAGGGCCAGCAGCGCCAGGGGCCAGCAGCTGCCCCACGGGCTGCGTGAGGGGACATGGGGACACCTCCAGGGCTGGGGCATTGCTGAGCCCCTCACCCAGGCACCTACCGGTACCTGAGATGGGTGACCAGCAGAGAGGGGTGGGTGTCCTGAGATGGGTGCACCCCAGAAGAAGATGGGTGCACCCTCAGAGATAGCCCCCAGGAAGATGGGTGCAGCCCCTGAAGATGGTATATACCTGGGAGAGGGGTACACCCTGGGTGGTGAGTGCAGCCCCCCAAGAGAAGTGCACCCCAGGAGACGGACACACCCTCAGAGTTAGGAGCACCCCCAAAGTTGGGTGCAGATCTCAAAGACGGGTGCATTCCAGGACTTAGGGGCACCCCTGGGAGATGTGTGCAGCCACGATGCAGGGTGTCCAGGACTCGGAAAGGATGTTCTCCAGGAATTTTGAAGGGAAGACTGGCTTTCTGCTCCCAGTGCCCACCCAGCGCCCCTCGGTGGAGCCGCCAGCTCACCTGGAGAG